CCAGCCAGTTCCTAATCCACCTCACTGTGCACTTATCTATCCCACACTTCTGGAGCTTGTCCAGGAGGATGTTGTGAGGGACAGTGTCAAAAGCCGTGGTGAAGTCGAGATAGACGATGCTCTCCCCTCATCTATCCAGCTGGTCATTCCATCATAGAAGGCTATCAGGTCAGTCAAGCAAGATTTCCCCTTGGTGAACCCATGCTGACTACTCTTGAGCACCTTCTTGTCCTCCATGTGCCCGGAGACAACGGCCAGTATGAGCCGTTCCATCACTTTTCCGGGGACGGAGGTGAGGCTGACTGGCCTGTAGTTGCCTGGGTCCTCCTTCTTGCCTTTTTTGAAGACTGGTGTGACATTGGCCTTCTTCCAGTCCTCCGGCACCTCCCTCATTCTCCAGGATCTTTCAAAGATGATGGAGAGTGGCTTAGCTATGACATCCTCCAGCTCACGCAGAGATGAAGTATTAAAAAAAAAGGCATTTAGGAAAAAGTTATGAATGGCAAATGCTTTTAAGAAAAAGTTTAAAAATAAATGAAAAGATAGGCAAATTGTAATATTTTACAGGTGGATGAGAGCTCAGATGATAACGTATCAGCTGGTTGGAGAACATCTGCAAGCATTAAAAGATAAAGCAGGGTGGAGATCTTTAGGTAATGTAATTAGGTTTTATATCGTTACCCTCAAGGAGTAATAGCAACTCATGGCAGCTTAGAGTCTGGCTCAGGATCTCAAGATCAGCCATTCTATTGAGCGACATAGGCAGGAATTACGTGTTGTTTCTTGGTGAGTAGAAGACAATCGAAGATTTTTTTCAGCCAACAATCAAAGATATACTCTTACAAGGGCCTTGGTAATCAAGGTGGACAGAATATTTTACTTCAGGTAAAATATTACAAGAACTCCACCTCTGTTTATTTCTACTGCTGGTAAAATAAAGGACGTGTCTATCCCTTTTGTGCATTATTTTCTATGTGCGTCAGTTGTTTGAATTGGTTAAGGGACAATTCCCTCTTTCACAAACTCCAGACTTTTCATGGAGTCATTGACTTCTTCATACTTAGGAAACGTTTCAGATCTTTTACTTGTTAAAAAGATCTGGGAAGCTCAAATTCTCAAAACACAACCCATGAAAATGAATTGGTTCTATGTTCTTAAATAGTCTGGTGATTTTGTTCTGTGTACTACTGAAAATAGATATTTTGTCTGGATTTCAAATATACCAGGGAGAACTCAACTGAAGGACAGCAAATCTGAGACTAAATATCGGAACAGGTGTTACTGCCCAACTCATTTTGTAGGTTTGGTAGGAAGAAAACTAGAAATTGTCGGGGGAGAGATTAAGGGTTGGTGGCAATAGAAGACAAGGTGGGGCTTGCTTAGCTGTTCTTACTTCCTAGTTCTGCTTTTGCAAGATCATTTAATTTTGAACGACACATTTCATCTTTGTGCCACAGTTACTTCTGCTCAATTGTGCTATGAAATCACGTGCTAAATTTTTTTTACATCAATTATAAGACATAATAGAATCATAGAATCATAGAATGCTTAGGGTTGGAAGGGACCTCTAGAGATCAAAAATACATTTTAGTAGTATGACCAAATTGCAGAGTTGAATAGGTAAAGGTGATGAGCTATAAAAGAGAAAGCCATGTTTTAAATGGACATATCTCTTCATAATGAGCAGAATTACCAAGGGAAATTATATAAAACAAATTAAAGTTAAATAGATTTTTGTTCAAGTCTGATAAATTATTTTCCAATAGCAGCGGCTCTTCTTTTACTAAAACATAACAGTTGGGATTTGTTTTCAAACTAAATATATGGGATTTATTTTCAAATTAGAAATCAAAAATGAGGATTATGAAATGATATATTTTTGAAGTGATGAGTAGGAGATATATGAACAAATTCTATTATTTCTTAAAAGGATTGGAACACATACCTTCCATACACCACTTTGAAACCTTCCCCACAAGGGTTTTTCCACGCTTCTAGCCAAAAAATAGCTACAATAATCAATTTGGTAGAGGAAAAGAATTTGAACATAGTTTGCCTAATGCACTCCTCCAAATCAAAATAGTGTAAGAAATCTGCTAGTAGTCAAAAAGTAGTATGAGAAAGTATCCTAATCTAAATAATAAGATTTCTTTAAACTAAAATATTTTTTAGGTTTCTTTCTGTGTTGTCCAAAGATTTCCAGTTGAATTGAACTCTTCAGTTCA